ACACCTCTTTAATGGATTAAGGAGTAGCAGACAACAGATAATCTTTTATTAATTATTCAAAATTATTGTATTAATTTTTTACTATGTGAGTTTTTTATTAGAAAATAAAATAATGCTTGTGGTTGTTTTCTCTCCTATTATAAAGCAAGGCTGTGGGAAATCAGTTATATTTTCCAGCAATAAAAGATGATTGTGCACATTTAATAAGTTTTCTATAGAAAACTCAACAGATCATAGAAAACAAAATCATAGATTTAGATAAATACCCCTGCCGCAGCAAACCTGCAGACTAAGCGAATTTCCATTTGACTGAGTGGATTTACACTGAAATGTCTACTTTAAAATATCACATTTATTCTTGATTTAAATAGAATTAGTTTAACAAGTACTTAGGTTTGCTCCATCAGGGAGGGTAAAACAGTTTTTTTTTTTTTTTGTAAAATGTGAATAGTTAGTAAGAAATAAAAACATTTTCCAAATTTGATCAAAATATGTTCACAAACAAGCAAACTACAACAGTTTACTTATTCTCCATAAGAATAACATGGGAATTTTAAATTTACAATTTTTTGGAATTTTCTCCGTAACCATTAGGCGCATAATAACGCTTCAACATACTAAATTGTTTGTTTTTTTAAGCTCTACAAAATGGTTTGGAAAGAAATTGCTAAATTTTATGTTTTTTGGGTCAAAAATGGGAAAAACCTATTTTTACCCCATAAAACCCCCCGTAAACCCCCGTTCCCATGGTCCGATCATGCTGGATCGCGAACTCGTTATATATGAATTTGAACGGATGGTGTTTTTGGCCTCTAGGGACCTCAAAACGAAAAAAAAATCGGTCCCGCGTCCAGGTCTTACCATGAGTACTACGGTAATAGCTTATTCCCTATATGGGAAATTCGCTAAAAACCAAATCATTTATGGTTCTGTAGGTTTTAGATAGTTTGTATTAAATTGTAATGACTTCGTAAAAAAATATTTAAATAAGAAATCCTGCTCAATAGGTAGGTACTGTTAAAAGACCAATAGCTCAAATAAATGCGGTTCAGTCAAATTTAATCAATATCGTAATAGATTTTCGTAGTCTTCAAATTAGGTACATTAAATACAGTGTGAATACTGTGAATACACAGTCTCGTTTGCAAAATATTCTAAACTACTGTACTACACATTTTATAAAAGCATTTCAAAATATCACAAATTACTACAAGTGCAAAACGACCTTTTAGTGAAAACAAGTGGAATGTTAAACAAAATTGTATTGTAATAGTCAACTTGTTGAACAAATGAAGCAGTTGTAGTATTGCAGTTCCATTTCCTACCCCACTTCCTCCATCCCTTACAAGGGGGGTAGTTTCAACTCATTTTCCTCTTCATTTTCATATTTCTACTCCCCTTGGTAAATGTCGCACGGAAATTGGTTAGGTGGTCATCTTACTAAAATTGTATCCACTACTTATCCAGTCTCATATTAGCTTTGATATTCAATGGAAAATGATCCTTCTTATTAATAAGCAAGAACACTTTTATAATTGTTATTTAGGTTGGAAAAGTTGACCTAGCATATTGGTTCAAATTGCTGTGTTAGATGAGCCAAATTAGTTTGCTTCAAGTGATCGCTTCTACAACGAAATTTTAAAATCATCACAGATTTTCCAACATTGACATCTTTGCTTTCTCCGTAACAATAAGTAATATGTATCTTTAAGCGTAGATTCAGTAGCACAAATTATTTATTGTACTTTTGTATTGTGCTTGGGACCTCTTCCATAAATGAGAACATTATTTTGAGCCACTCATTAAGTGTACCACTGTAAAATATTGTTTCTTTCTTGCACTAACCTTTGAATCTTGCCCATCTGTAAGGCAAATGTGTCAGTTAGCATCTTTTATGTCCCAATGAATTATCATAGTACAAAAACTGACACTGAAAACAGAACTTAAACAGATAGAACATACAGTGTTTCTTTTTAAATGCGATTTGTAATATAGTACCTATCTAAATTTGGCTTTACTAAGGTGCAAGTTTAATAGACACTTTTTCCTAGTACATCCCTATATACTTGTATTTGTAATGACTGTTATTAAAGATGTAGTTAACCGCAAATCCAAATGTTAAACACTTTCTGATTATTATGTTTCCATACATTCCGTGGTGAGTAATACTTGTCGGTAAAGGATATTTTTAGGAAGCAGTTTTGCCACCAAAGAAAATTGGTTCCGTGACAGTTGGTTTTAATGTTGAAGTTAACGCCAGTTTTGCTCCAATCTAGGATGATCAGATATAACAGAAAGTCCTATCAAGGAAAAGATTTGATTTTATATTTATTTTCCTTGGGTTTTATCAGTTGAGAAAAAATATTATATTTCAAATAAATACTTAAGTATATTTTTTATAGATGTATATTTATACCCCTTTTGAAAATTGTTAATATTGAATGTGTAAAACAACTACAATTTATTTTAACTTTTTTTTTCCTTGTACGGTATTTGTTTTATTGTTGTTACCCAAATTATTATAGAGATTTATTTTGTTAAATGTAATAAACGGTATCAGCAATCTGAATCTGACACAAACTTTCTCCCATTAGCTTGTCAACAACCTTTATCATGGGTAAGCTATGAGAGTTAACTATGATATTTAATAGGTAAAATCACAAAAGTTTCATTAGCTTTTGAACCGTGATTTTACAAGAATGGGAGTAGTACCATTTTTTCAGAATCTAAAGGGCGACAACATACTAAATTTGTATCAAAATCGTTCTGGCCATTTTTGAGAAAATCAGATTTTTCCATTTTATGGGTTTTTATGGAATGGTTGCACTATGTTGTTAAGAATTATAAGGATTATCATATAGTAATTTCAATCAAAACCGGCTTTAAAAAAATACAATTTTCTCTTATTTTATGGGTTTTTATGGGAAAATAACATAATTTGCAATAACCTTTGAACCGTAATTTTTACAGAAATGGGAGTAGTACCAGTTTTTTCAGAACCTAAAGGGCTACAACATAATAAATTTGCACCAAAATCGTTCTGGCCATTTTTGAGAAAATCAGATTTTTCCATTTTATGGGTTTTTATGCAAAAATCTACATTAAAAATCTAAATTTCGTAAAATTAAAAAAAAAAAACGCCTGGAGATATCATGTACATTCATACCAAATTTCATCCAAATCGGACCACTGGTGCAATTTGTAGCTTTGTACACATACACACAGACATCACTTCGAAACCCACTTTTTGGGTCCAGGGGGACTCAAAACTCAAACTCAAAAATTTTGACAAAAACAATACTTTCTCCATGTAATATGGTATGGGGAGAAAGGAAAAACTTGTTTTGAGTTTCATTGTATATTTTGTATTCATATTGCATTGACAATAAATAATATTTTTATTTTGAATAGACATTTACATCAAGCCAGCAATACAATACATATTATTGATAGAAATTAGTCAAACATCATTTTGAAAATAGGACTGTTTTATTCATTAGAAAATTAGAGACTCCCTTTAAAATAAATTAAATTTATTGGATTGATTTTTCTGATACAGTAAATTATCATACAATTAAATTCTTTTACAACATGTTGTGGCAGATTTGCATTTGAAGTCTGTGGATGGGCATTTGGAAATTTATAAGGATTTTTAATTATTAACTCTACAAGATGGACATTAAAACATTTAACAATTATTACCCTATGCTTGTTCAACTAATTTTTCTGCAACATATTAATGCTATTTCATACTCACTCATCTAACCTGTCATGCAAAATCATTAAATAAGTATAAATAAAAATATTAGGTGCTTGGTATAAACATGTATTAGTTCTTTCTAAAAGTAGTAAGCAACACGTGCAAAACTCTAGTAATGGAAAAAGTAAGAATTTTAACATTTCAAAACAAGCTAAAATATCTTGATTCATTGTTTCCGACCTGAGATACATTGTTTCTTCCTGAAAGCTTGGAAAAATAGAGAAATTCCAGTTTGTTGACTTTGCACTCCACTACCAGTCTGAGGCGAACTTTCTGAAAGTTTTTGGCAGTTTGAGATTTCCAGTTTCAAACTGACTTTTCCTGACAAGTTGAAGGAAAGATTTTTAATAGCAAAATACTGATATAAGTTGTAGTTGTTTTTCTTTAAATAATCCCCTCTATAATGTTTCTTCTTTTCTACAGTTTTGTTACAATTCACACAAATATTGAGTAAGCTACCAATAAGCTGGTAGTGACTTATTAACACTGTGTTTTCTTAGAATTTCTAAATGCTTCCAAATTAAGTATTTATCACTAAAAAATGTGAAAATAAATTTGCTAAACAAAGAAAAACACTACATATTAATTGTTGTGCTATTTGTACGATGAAATCATCAAGTTTAATCTTGGATTGTCGAGACTAGTATCCATTTAAAGATTTAGGCCACAGAAACAAAACATGAATGTAGACACATTTGACCAGTTCCTAGACCTCAGATAACCCCAGTGATACAACAGTTAAGTGATAACCACTTGGATAACACGGATACTCCAATGTATCCCACATCCACTATCCACAACACTTATGAAGGCTGGGGTCACCAGATAGATATGGTTCTATTGGATTGTCCTGAGGTTTTTGTCCCAATGGCATTTTTTTCTTAGTCAAGGTTTGCTGTGTTTAGTCAAGTTATTAGAGTAATGTTTTAGTCTGATCGGTGTCTTTTTGTCAATGTTGGCAGTTGTGTTATTTTAGAATAGGTTGTCACCTTTAATCTAAGGTTGTACATTTTTAACTGGGTTACTTATTTATCAAGGTGATGGTAGGAAAAATTAGGATGTTGAGTTGGAAAATTTACTTATTAACGGAAATCTGCTATGTCAGTCTTCTGTTTTTTATAAACTGGACCTTAGTGATCCTCAAAAAGTTAGTTCTGCTGCACTGTTAATTTTAGATAGTTCTTTTTAAAATTATGCTTAAGTGTTCCTCACTCTAGTTAGTTTTTTTTGTTTTTTGCAGGAATTGTAATTGCAGTGGGGCATGGCCGGCTCTGGTACTAAACTGATGACATTGACAACAACCGTGACCTTGAGTGACCTTCAGACACGCTTCAGCCGAGACCTGGCAGAATGGAGGACGACGACGCAGCAGCAACAACAACCCCTAGTGAAAAAACTCCCGAGCACAACAAAACGGACGAATCGCCCCGCATTGGTGTAAATGTAAATGGTGTGGTGAAACAAGATGGCTGTGATAAGTTTAACCGGAGTGTGGCGTCGAGAAGCAGTTCGTCTTCGCTGTTGTCGATGCGGCGCCGATCCATAGTAATGAGTCCGACGAGCGATGCGGCCAAAGCGAGCTTCAACAGTAAAACTGGACTTCACGTGCAGTTCCACTCGAGTACGAATACAAACGGTTCCGGTCAGGGAGAAAAGAAAGGGAGAGCGCCCTCGTACACCTCGACGAGTTCAGGGAGCTCGAGTTCAAGTTACGAGGACGACTCGAGCTCTGGCTTGTCCGAGGTAAAGGCACCTGATGGCGGATGGGGATGGGTCGTCGTCTTTGCGGCATTCATGGTCAACCTGATCGCAGACGGGATTACGTTTTCCTTTGGTGTGATTTTTGTAGAGTTTCTTCATTACTTCGGCGAGGGTAAAAGCAAAACAGCATGGATCGGCAGTTTATTCATGGCAATGCCTTTGTTGTCCGGTCCAGTGGCAAGTTTCCTAACGGACAGGTACGGGTGCAGAAGAGTGACTATAATCGGTGCAATATTGGCTGCTGCGGGATTCATAATCTCCTCGTTCACCAACAGTGTGGAGTTGTTGTTCCTCACATTTGGTATCATCGCCGGGTTTGGACTGTCGTTGTGCTACGTGGCGGCAGTCGTGATTGTTGCATATTACTTTGACAAGAGGAGATCGTTTGCGACCGGTCTATCCGTGTGTGGTAGCGGGATCGGCACGTTTGTGTTTGCACCTGTCACACAGTTTCTGCTTGTGGAGTATGGTTGGCGAGGGACCACTCTGGTACTCGCCGGGCTCTTCTTGAATCTTATTGTGTGCGGAATGCTAATGCGAGACCTGAAGTTCACTCCAGGGATGAGTAAAGGTAAAGACCTGAAGAAACGGAAGAAGAAATTACGTCTCAACACAACCTGCAGTGCCGACTCCTTCTCGGCTCTCAACTCCACCCAGCAAACTCCCACATCATGTCCCAGCAGCGGAGAGCTACGGAAACTCCTTCAGCGACCTGGTGAGTATTATACCTTGCAGCTATTACCATTGACTTATGGATACTGAACTAGACATCTGCTGTAGCCAAATCTTTATTGAAAAAGAACATAGTTGAATGAGGCACTCTAAAATCTAGGAATGAATGTTTTACAGTTTTTCTAGAATTCAATTTTCTCCTACAGTATACAGTAGTTTTTGAAATTATGATAATTGATGTAATTCATAAGATGCTATGTTCTTTTTGTTTGGCTTGGTTGAAAATTTAGCTTTAAATGTATTTGGCAGAAATAAGTTGATTATATCTCTACACTCCGCCAGTGGCTCAGTCGAATGATGTCAGTTTTATTCTAAAATTGGAAACAGTTTTAACATGGAATGGAATGTCTAGTTCTATCCAATGTCTAAGATATTGATTAACCATAAATTTATCTAATTTAGGTAACTATCACCCTTAGGTGACTTACTTTTGTTTGCTTTCATTCTATTATTAAGTAATATATTTTAGTGAACTGTTTAGTAGTTTTCAATGGTTAACACTTCGGCAGGTAGAGAGTTGGACCGTTGGCCACATCTGAGGATTTTGGGCCGAAGTGTTTTACGACACATTTTTAACTACCTTCTTCGTGCCATTAAAAAGTTTAATTTCTTTTATAAACTAAATAATTTTAAAAATTGACAAAACTTTCAGATGAGGGGTTTAAAAACGTAATACAGTAGGCCTAAATGAATTTCAAATTTTAAACAAGTTAGTGTTTGTACTAAATAACAATAATAATTCTGAATACAAATACAATGTATCAGAAACATTTAGACATGCTGATTACATTTTGATTATGGGCTAACTGTTCAATTCACACGGTGTAGTAAGTTATATTAAAATTGAAATTAATATAAAACACCTTATTTAAACATATTCAAAATCATTTATTTGATCAAGTTTATGAATATTTGACATATTAGTAATTTTACTGTGTTATTCACTGTAAGGTGGCACTAACTAGTTTTTTTTTCTTTGGACCGCTAAATGTAAAGTGATTGGTTTCTGGTATTCACTTTGTGGTTATTTTACCACACAGAAACCTAATCCACATGTTTAGTTAAATAAAACTCTTTACAATTCTGATTTCAAAGAGACTACAAAAACTCTTAACATTTGTAAAAATATTTAGTTCACAAATACTGATATAAACTTCTTCACTTTTTTCTCTCAATTTGTTTTTTTATCGTTGTAGACGACAGTTTTCACAAACTATAAGGCTAAATGTCAGTGTTAATAACAAAAAATAAATTTCTTATTTTGTTAGGGTCTAAGTTCAGTAAGTTTTTACAAGTAACATTTTCGTGCCAGCTAAAAACTAGTTTCTTAACGTAGAAGTTTCAGTTGAAATTTGGTACTAACCACGTAGGAAGTAAGGTACAGAGGAAACATTCAATGGTACACTTAAGTGGTGTCTAGGGCAAAGCTAATACCATGACCCCCTCAACCTCATGTACACTACAATGCAGTGGAGGAAGACTCTGTGCAATAGTTTTTACACAGTGCTCGCCACATGGGCCCTTTCTTGCTCTTCGCAAGCATATTTCCATTTCCGGCACAACATACAAGAGCTGAAAGCGCACGGTAATCCCATAAGCTTGTTTTCTCTGTACCTTACTTCTCTATGTACTAACTCATCAGAGTATAATGCAACATTGCAGTTAAGTATCAATACTTACAAAAAGTAGTCAAAACTAATGTAGTTAAAACTCTCCATGGAGGGTTTTAAGACTGACGATATATGTTGTAGTTTTATAACTAGTCGTCGGGTGTGAGTGCTAAGCGATGTCTAACATATAGTGGTGCGTAGATCATGGAACACCGATGTTTGATGTTGCCCCGATGGATCTCAAGACCATGGCTCGATTCCTTCTTAAACTGCCTCCGTATGGAGATAAACTGATAAAATTAGGTAACCATTGGCACGGCTGCCATAACTGTACAGTGTGTTTTTTCTCATTTTAAATTTGACGAGTTCAACTAATTTGGATTTTGAATTTGGTATTTTTTTGCTACCTATATTATTTTATTTTGTAATTCTGTGTCAATGCTATCAGAATATTGTTAGAAAGGAGGTTAAATAATTTCAATCGAAAGCGGTTTAAGCCTAAAATTGATGTGGATATAGCAGATTCAAAACCCACTGATTGTTTCTTCAAGAGTCAAAAGTTCTTAGGCTACTCTTAGCAAGTAATACACTTCAATTTCCATCAAGTTCTTTACTGATAATAAAAAGCTTTTTATTTCATCAATTTCTCTTTCAGTATAGGCCTATACAAGATTTACAGTTAATCATTCAGTTATTCATTTATTTGTTCAATAGATAGTACAGTAACTTATATTTTTCGTTTGTTTTTGTATTTTACTTAACATTTGGAAAATTAGATAAACGCTACAATTTAACTCTAAAATACAAGACATTTCTATGACATAATCCACAGCTTGTATTACCAGATGTAGGCCTACTACCGTAGACAATTTGTTACAAAAAAGATAAGTCAAGATAAAATTGTCTTATACATTTTTTTTCTTTCAAATTATGGTTCCATTAATTGTTCATTGGTTTTTAGTATCACTTGGATGAAATTAATCTGCTAATGTAATGTTTCAACAAAACTACTTTGTTCACCATAGTTCTCTGTTAATGAAATACATACACCCATTAAACTGAAATAGATAAAACACTTGTAGACATTTAGATACATATTTATTATCTCTCAGAAGAAAATTGTTTATATGCTCTTTAACTCAAATTTGGTGAGCAAGTCGTAAAATGAGAAGAAATCCATTGTACAGTATATGTTTGTTGTGCGATGCATACGTTTTTCCGAAAGTATGCCTGTTCTAAAGATTTTTCCAGGTTGTCCCTACTTCTTGTGTTTAATCTAACTTTTGTGTGAGCTTTATTTTAACCAAAAATAGTTTCCAAAGAGTTTTATTTACAGCCCACTAGTGGAATCAAGAGTGTGTTTTACTAAAGTAGTTGTATGAGTTAGATGTTTGGAGTGTGAAGTTAACGTGAATAACTTTATTTAGTCCTGGGTCCTATGTATAGGTCAGGCCAGCGGTTTGCATGTGATGCGCTAATGGGTCTGGAAATAATTGTGCCCCTCTCTACCTACCTTGTGAGGGAATCTTTCTCTTCCTTGCGCTCCCAGGCCCGGGCCCACCAGACCCATTTATTAAAGCGGCCCTGCAGTGTTTCCTACTATTTTTATAACCAGAAATTTGTCTGAGGTGTCAAAATGTAATTACAGTTTTTCCCATCTATCTATCTTCCAAAAAATTTGTATAGCCTACATTTATATACTAACACATATATATTTATATTATACACATTTATATTTGGTGGAAGCATTATGGAAGTAAAATTGTTAAAATTAAGAAGACTGTTTTTTGCTCAGATAATTACTGTGTGCTTTTAGTTTGTGTAACATTTTCTCGGAGTTATGGGAAAACAGAAGTGTTAAACACAATATTTTGTATTACTGGTTTTGAATAAGTTGATTAGCGAGTGTGATCCTTTGTGCTTAAATATTATCAATTTAACGCAAAGTGTTATGTTTTTTTTATATACAAAGTATATTGAGATTTAAGTATATTGAATTTATCCACAATTTTCTACATTATTGCTACTTTTAATATTCCACATTATATCATTTGTTGCCTTGGACAACACCTTTTGATTTTTAACTTTGTAGATTAAAGAAATCAAATAGGTACCTATTTTTTTTTGTTTTGTGTCCCAGAGAAATGTTAAAAAAAGTCATGTTGAATAAATAAGCTTCTTTGGGGATGTTCGATTTTAAATGCTTAAGCCCTTTCACACGAGGCGGGTTTACAAGCTACATGCCAGCATGTAAGAAGCCGGCAAGTCAGCGAGTGCACTTGTTTTTGTTAACACGATGCTTTTTCCACTCGCTCAGTAGCTGGCTTCTGACCAGACCACTTGGGTGTTTTTTAATTGTGAAATCTTGCTGGCTGTGTTGGTTTTGTGTTGGTGTTTGCGTACATTTAAAATGTAATGGTCTGTGAGAAAAGTATCGGTGTTCCTAAATGTGTATGTACCAAAAGTACCCAGCCTTATGGAATATGGAAAAAACTATGCCAATAAACCATCAGGGGTAAATTTTTTTAAACAGCTAATGATCGGAGGAAAAATAAGAGAACATGGATGAAAAACAGTTGAAATCCAAAATAAAGTAATGTTTTCGATGCACCATAATCCATACGTCTTCCTACCCACTGTCTTACCCACACTTACCTCCTTTTCCGTTTCTCATCTTGCCTTCTAATAAATTCATTTTAATCTCTTTTGCTACTATTACAACTCCCGCAAGAACCTACTCTTCTAACATCTTTAAATAACAAGCGCACAAACACAAGCAACTGTGTTCACACTGGGCTACTTACACGCTAGATAGCTCAAAAGCTGGAGATGAGGCGTGTAAATTAGCCGCAGAGTCAACTTTTTCCAAAGCTTTTTTTAAAAGCAGCTTTTGAGCGAGTATGTCGTTCACACTGAGCTATATTACTAGCTGCGTGTAAAAAAGCTGGCGTGTAGCCTGTAAACTCGCCCCGTGTGAACGGGGCTTTAGAAAACTTGGTTTAAGAGAAGAAGTGTTTATTGAAATGCACTATCCAGATTTTAATGTAAAACAAACAATAGACAGGTCTCCAAGATTGAGAAGTCGCTTGTTACCGAGATTCAAGCAAATATTTAATCTTAAAATCGTCTCTAGTAATTGAGTTAAAGTCTCCAAAAATAATGGTTCTGTCCAAAAATAAATCAATGTCTCAAGTTTTGTAAATTGTATGGTGCTTAGTGGCCCAAGATCACTTTAGGATTGAATGGTATAAATTACATGTCCGTTGGTGATCCTAATGTCTTCTCGTCTATGGCAAGTGGTTTTGAGATTAAATCTCATCCTCAGGCTTCTTCATATTGCATATCGGTGAACATTGTGTTTGTTTGGTTATGTGTTTACCGACGACCTCAACTTCAGTGAAATGAAATTCGAAGAAGCCACATGATTTTAATCTCAAAAACTAGTTGCCATAGACGTAGGATCACCAACAGATTGGTTGTTAAAACAATTTAATTTGTAAATTTTCTGTACTAATCTTAGATTTATAGTTTGCCCTTCAACTCTAGGAATAGATTACCAAAAATTAAAATAGAATAATTTTTAGTCAGTCTTTCTGGTAAATACAAGTTAACTGTAAATATAATGATAACCCACCTAAAACTACTTAGTTTTCAAACTTGCTTTTTGTAAAAAGTTCTAAGTTTAGATGGAAACAGAATGTTGTTTGCAAAGTGTTGAGGACACTAGAGTAGATGGTTCTTCATTATACTGCTTATTAGCAAGCCCCTTCATATGGTAGACTGCAGCTTCCAACACTTAAGGTGCATACCAGCTTCTATATTTTCATTGAATCTTTTTGTGAAAATACCTTCTCAAAAACAAAATGTAGATCGGATTACATATTTGCAATAGACATTGTCAAAAGAAATTACATTTATAAGTTGGAAATACTTATACATACAATTCTTAGGACAACACATATGACATGTTTAGTCTTATTAGTCAATTTTGACTTAATAGTCAGAATAAAAAATAGTGAAATAATTAATATCAGTTTGGAATTAGAGTAGAATTGCAACTGCAATCAATTAGAAAAGTCGTCAAACAACTGTTGATTAATTTGTTATTGATGGCTGCAAAAACAATCCGAGTGGAGAGGCCACAAAATTAGCCCCGGGTGAAAACAAGAGTCACATTTCACTCGAGTGGTTTTTTGATTGATGTGGCGTCGATGTGCGTTAATTGTGTTAAGGTTTACATTTCAAAAAGGTCAGACAAGTTGAGATGTGATTTTAGTCAAGATCAATAATGGAACTCGATTAAAACTGAGTTAACTAGAAATCATTTGCAAGTTTTGTAATAGTGTTTGGTTAAACTTTGACTTGGGGTAAATTATGTGTTGATTTATCAAAGTAAAAATGGAGGAAATATACAATAAAACTTTTTTCAATATTCAATTTATTACAGTATGTTGTACAATCTACAGAAACTATATATTCTTTATAAATTGATTTAGTCTTTAGTCCTGCAGTAGAAGTTTTCCTCACTTTCATTAAGAAACATCAACCACAAAAACTAAGTAAGCTTCGATTAAATGTAAATTCATCTACACAACAAAATAAATTTCTGTTTTAGGACATTGGGGAATGAAAAATTGCCAAAATTGTCAAATGCCCTTTTCAGCATTGATGACAATGACTGTTTTGTGTGTAATATGCATTTTCTTCTCCTGTACACCACTTATCTATTTAATATTTCTTAAGTTAAGGTCATTTATGCACCACACAGTTTTTTTAATACTTTTTTCATGAACCATGTTAGAAGCACAACATAGTTTTAGAAATGGTGAATTCAGTGAAAATTATATGCACTTTTCACTCAATTTGGTCAGTAAATATCGTTGAAAAACGTCTATTGGCCCATAATCTAACATAATAATATTACTACCAAGTTGGTTGGTTATGAGATATAATTCTAATTTTTTTAAACACAAAAGTTTATTTAACAATCTTTTAAACATACATAATTTGAAAATGATACAATGAATTTTGTGCTGAATGGTGTCACTCGGGATCTACTCTAGGGCCAAGTATTTTCTTCTCCCTCTAATTTACGCCACCTTTTCTGTGCAGTGTCCTCCCCTATAGAGAGTCCAGGAGGTGACTGTGACTTGGTCTCACGGCAGTTTAGCTCACTAGTCAGTCTGCCGACATTTGTCCGCAACGAAGAGAAAGTTCCGCTAGAAGTCCTGGAGATGTTGACCACCCACAAACATCTGTACGCAGTCCTCCTGCATAACTACCCCAGTCTACTGATATCTTCTCGTAGCTTCAGTGACAGCGGCCGCCTTCATGAACAGCAGGTGGGTAAATTAGTAGGATAAAACTTTTTCTGTTTTTGCTAGAGATCGTAGTGTGTACAATCTATATAATTAATACGCTACAAGAAACTTTGTCGGTTGAACTGCTCCGCCATTTCTTAACCGATTCTATCCATTGACGTCTCATTGGAAAGACCGTGTAGCGTAGATTTGCAAACTGGCCTTACATTTTTGAAAAAATCGCTTAGGCTCTGCCCCAGTGGCTTTGAAAGTTCCCATGTTATCCTTATGAAGAACACATTTGTTTAGGCCTACATTTTGATCAGCTGTATAATTTAATTGCTGTTATTTATTTTTCAGTACAATGAAACGCATTGAGTACATTTATTTACTATTTGAGTTTGTGTAAACATAACCCCCACGACGGATCGTGTTAGTATGGTTGTATCTTAAATTTGTGATTTATCTTTGTTTTGTGTCGCTATGACGTATCGTGTTAGCATGATTGTAGCTGAAATTTGTGCATTTATCGTTATTTTGTGTGGCTATAATTTGTTTTATTTTTTGTTTTTTTTTCTTTTAAATGCTTCCGACGCGACAACAACGAAACATAGACAGGAGGCGTAATCGTGATAACGACCGCAGCTACAGAACAGTGGCGCGTAATAGTCTTAACTCATCACAGTCAGCACCTGACCCTGGACAATCTCAACTATTAGGTTACAAATGCGCCCTAACACTACCCCAAAACGACTTTTCGTTCTCAATTGGCCCTCTATCAATGACCTGTGTTGCCTGTACAGAGAGGCACTTTGAGAAGGAGAAAACCGGCCGGAATGCTTTAGGTTTATCAATAACGAAGATAAACATGGTCTGAGTTACACACCGGTAATCTTTGAGTTGACTCTTTTAAACTTATTGTAAATATGACTGTTATTAGTTTTGAAATAACTCCTGTAATACTTTGCAATTGCTCGATTTCGAGCAACATGTACACTAGTAATGTATAAAGACTATGTGGAATCACATAACAAGCAAAAAATCAATCACAGGAGAGCAAGTGGCTACATAACATTAAGATTATTTTATTTTTCAATACAGAAGACTCTTGGTTAAATGAGGTAATGTGGACCAAGGCTAACTTGGATAACCAAATCCTTGTTCAACACATGTACAAAAGCACTAATTCTTAACACAAAAAAAGTTTGAATAAAAAGTATTGTACAATACATAATATTCACCTAGGCCTACCTATCAAATTACAAGTGTTAAAAAAGTCCAACAGTTTTCTGATTGATCTTGCTGCCTTATTTCTGAGCTGCCAAACTGGAGATACAAAGTAACTAATTATGTCAGTGAGTGTTGTGTCTCCTACAGAACCATTAAACACCATTTCTCAAAAGCAAATCACTTGACTTACTCAACTCGTAACGACAGTATTTGATCACGTCTAAACTCAAATGTTATCTCTCTCACTCTGTATGCATTATTACGATATTTCCAATATACTAGTACTACTTCCTTAGGTGAATGACGCTAGTGTACTTAGTAGACATTTGTTATGTTCATAAAAGTGGAACCAAGCATTAAAATTTGCCTAAACTGATAGAGCAAGTACAGTATTAATTTACTAAGCTAACCTATGATTTACTTGCTGCTAATACTAGCGTTGTCAGATTGAGGCTTGACTCCAGATTTTGTTTCAGCAACTCAATGGACGTCCGAGAGATCAGTTATCAGCGAGGTTCGTAGCTAACAACGCCCCCGTCAGTCCTCTAGCTCGCACTCCCAACACAGAGCCCCGCAGCACCGCCACCACCCCGGCAGACGACGGTATCACTGAGGCCAGCCCACTGCGGGGCCACAAACAGACCCGCCTGCCTACTGCCAGCTATCTCAAGGATCTCAGGGTTCACAGGTGGGGTTTTGTATTATGTTTTAATTTGCACATACAGAACCTTCAGTTACCCGTGGCAGTACATCAAAACAGAAGTCTGATAAAGTCTTATGCTTAGTCTTGAAACTTAACTTATAGTTATAGCCCGCCTAGTGATACACCTGGAACTGAATATTGTGCTCATCAGTAGGTTGTGGATTCAATCCTGAGAAAAGTCAAACTCTTGTGGCTTAAAACGACCCAGCTGTTCTTGGTCAGTGGGTTAAAAAAAAAGATCCTTGGCTAAACCAGCCAGCAACACAGACGTCTTCTCATTTAATCAACAATCATCGTTAACTTATCTCTACCTCAAAATGCACATTCTGATGTGTCGGGTTCGTAGAAATATCTCATTATTTAAATATGACGGTTACAGGCACTCGCTCACGTATCGTGGAGCCATGTTGAACATCAACAGGTATCGTCTGAGAGCTTCTTCCTGCCCGGACATCTACAGGAACTCCATGACTACCATCGCTAAAGAGGAGTCTGATGTAATACAACACTCTTAATGTTATACATCATATAAATGCATGATTAGATTAGATTCAGTGACAAAATGCAACTTAATTCTAAAGCATTTTGAGTTTTTGCAGAGCAGAAAATTCACATAAGGTCAGAGTAATTTAGGGTGAAAGAAAGTCACTGCAGTAAATCTCAGCCGATCGTTCTAACGCAGGGTTGTTTTCACTCCCTATTATTCTGGTGATCAGCAGATTATCTATAATATTAAAACGAAAGTGTGTTTTTTTATTTCACGATTCTGAATCAACCACTCGATGGATTTTCATGATTTTTGTGTTGAAAGAAAGATAATTTTGAGAACTAGGGAATGTCGAAGCCATAATTTTAGTTTAGGGTCCCAGTTTTTTAGAAATTGAGTTTTAATTTTTAAAAAGTCTAGCAGCCGACGCTAAGATTTTAAACTAGCTTTTGGCATAAAATCATTTGTTTAACATAACAGCTGTAAACATTCAGCTTTTGTGTCACAAATTCAGCATTTGGATAAAAATGTAAAGACATACTTAGGGTTGACTTACTTATACTATGTGTAATGCTAATCATTGATACGTTCAATTCTTCTGTAAGAGGATTACAGATTAATTAAATATACATAGTAAAATACTAGGATATTCAAATTATTTTTTAAAGCAATCTTTGTAATCTTCGATTTGTTTTAGAGCAATATAATTTGTTTTAACTAACAGCTGGTTAAACATAAACTATGGATCTATGAGGTTATTTTATTTACTCTTATTTTGTCATTGATTATAGGAAATAAGTAAGATTAGTAGAGATAATTAGACCACAGTTTAAAATAGTTTAGACCAAAATTAATTAAACCACAGACAAATCAAGGCTTACACGAGTCATAATAAAAAAGGATAAATGCAAATTATTTTACTGCTCCACTTTTCAAGGAAAGATTAGAAAAATAACAATGTTTATATGTTTTAATTCTTCATGGTAGCTTTTTGTTTACAATTGTGTTTGTCTGCTTTAACTTTGTTTGGATTAGGCCCGGAAATATTGATGTCACAAAAAGAAAATCAAGAATAATCAGGAATCACGATTTTAAATTACCACCACAACCTCAGCCGGGTTTTATACAAAGATAAATAGATGGATGACATAGATTGAACACAACGTCAACATTGACCTAGGATACTGCAATTAGACAAACCATCCTTCTATGAAATCGTGTTCAGTTGTGGTTACGTTTGGGGGCGCCTATATCAGCGCCCCCACCTTTTATTTTAACTATGAATATATTGTAGTTTAAATTAACTAATATGGGAAATTACGATGTACATTTATTCAATGAGGGTGGGTAATTATCAAGGATAGAACTGATAACGGTATGGATAATAAACATTGACAATTACGTCATTAGCTTTACTAGCGTGTTTACTTTTTATATTCCTGCTACATGTGACCAGTTCTTTTTTTCAAATGAATGTTATTTGAACCAAACAGCTGTTTCAAAACAAACTGTTATTGTTTTTACTTTTCTTTGTTTACACTTATTTATTTAGCAATTAATGCAGTGAAATTGAGGGTAGGTGTGACGATTAGTTTTGATGATAGGACACCAAAGTTAAATTATGTGTACTGTGAATTTTATTGGATATTATCATTTTATTTTAGGTCGTTTCTATTCAGACCTACTGGAAATTGTGTATAGTAGTTGTATTGTGGTGATAATAATTATGGAAGAGGCAGGTATGCTATGGAAGGTGGTATCGTTGACTAGGTCTATACACTTCTCAATTCACTATTTACTCTCTCTACTGTATAGGCTACTTATAATCAGTGTGCGTCTGTGCGAATCGGCTGCAAATCTCACTTCAACGCTTTTCACATCGTAAAAATTGCAGAATTGCTGTTTTATTGTAAAATTATCGGATTTCAAATGCATATCGTATAGGCCTATGATGGAATAAAAACATATTTGTTCACACAACATTTGTTTACAAGATGATTTTTCACATTAAAACTGCAAGAAACTTTGTCTTTATATGTGTAAACTAGCTGATCTGAATTGTACACGGTTTTAACTGACTACTGAATTCCCGTACGTAGGACGGGCTAACACCTCGTTACTATTATTTTGAGATGCTCGATGTTAATAGGAAGACATGATCAGCCTTATTTCACTCACTCGTTCTAACAGTTCAGATGACGGTACGAGAACAATATGGGGTTTTTATCAGTAATCTGTAACAAAGTACAGATCAAGCAGTGATCTGTTTTCCAAAGTACTGTATTATTATGTGATGATTGTTGTTAAGTTGAGGATACAATCGGTGTTATTTCATTCGCTTTAATCAGTTCAGATTACAGTATAAAAATAATTGTGCATTCTTAGTCAGCTATTAACATGGTAATAGGCGTCATTACAGTTATAGTATTATTCATAACATCACTCATGATAACACCTACAACTATTATCACCACAGTGGCGGGTTGGATAGACACACCAAACCTAACCTTCATTTAACATTGTTGCAGTGGTCCTCCGGACTCTCGGAGTTGTGGCTCTTGATGGCTGACATGTTAGACTTCTCACACTTCTCCAACCCTCGGTTCCTACTGTTTGCGGTCAGCAACTTCCTGCTGTACACATGGTATGATGTCCCATACGTCTACCTGGCGCACAACGCTATACAGATGGGTTTCTCAGAGACGGACGCTAGCTTCCTCATCAGTGTGATCGGCATACTCAACATGGTCGGAGAGGTGAGTCTCATGTCTAGGATAGGATCTAAGGTAGCTATGATACGCTTAGTTACCCCCTCCTGTTGAGAAGCTAGATTTATTAAACAACCTTGCTTTCGAACAATATTTCTGAGGATTCTGTACTTTTTATATGACCATCATTTTAAAACAAATCATGTTCAAATTTACTATCTGTTCTTTATTATGTAAAAATTACATTTGCCTATTGGGTCTGATGATGATTGAAGAGTTTAAACTAAATCTATCACCACTTATGTGTATTTACCATCATGTGAGTCAACAGTACAAGTGTAAATATTTGTTTCAAGTGTTTATAAGACATATTTTTATGTACTTTTTAAATTTAACTACACGTGTAATGCTGGTCCAAAAATAAACTTAATTGTAACAATAGTACTAAAATAATACAACTTATACAGTACTGTACATGATCTCCCCATAACATGATGAATTGTAACTGTCTTCCACGGTCACAGCAAAATAATGAACACATTCCCCCGGTCACAGTGATATCTTGAACATCTTCCAAGTCACAGTGAAAACGAGGATACATTCTGCAGTCATGGCAAAATCATGGACATAATCTGTCATTCAGCAAATTGTGACACATTCCCTGGTCCCCATGAAACTGAGGACTTCTTCTGCGGTCACTACCAAATCGTAAACGTTTACTGCAAAATCAAGAACATCTTCTGAAGCCACAGGGGAATCAAGAGCAATGGTCACGGCAAAATCTTTAACATCTCCTCCCGAAGCGAAATCGTGAACCTCTTCCTTAGTCACAAGGACATCACCATCATCATTTCCCACCATCACAGCCAAACCGTGAACACCATCCGTGATTGTCAATTCTCGATCGTACATCTTCGCAGACACTTGCAGTTGTGAAAATAAAAACATGGCTTAGCTTGACATGAACTGAGCTTGGTTAGAAGATTATTTCTTGCCAGAACTGACTACTCTGGCCAACTGTTGACTCAACCCGACTTCAAATTATATGGGACTCGCAAACACCTACAAATTGTTGCCTGTCCAGGTAGAGTTGATGTCTTAAACACTATACAGTAGAACCTCTTTGATCCGAACTAATTGGGACCGGGGGTAGTTCGGACTATTGAATAGTTTGGATTACAGAATAGGCCTATATTTTTGTTTTTACATACAGTAATAGCTAAAACGTGGCTAAAATGTATCGTAATTGTTAGGGGAAAAGTGAAATATAGTTTTTAAAGTAAAATACAGTTTTAGCGAATTTCCCTATAGGGAAGTAGCTATTACCGTAGGTCTCATGGTAAGACTTAGGCCCGGGACCGATTTACTTTTTCATTTTGATGTCCCCAGAGGCCAAAAACACCATTCGTTCAAATTTTTATATATGTATATATATATATATATATAGATTTATATATATATGTGTCCGTGAACACGATAACTTGGTTAATTTTTATCCGATTTTGATGAAATTTGGTTTGAAGGTGTAAGGCGGGATAAACTTGAATGAGTTCGCGATCCAGCATGATCGGACCATGGAAACAGGGTTTTATGGGGGGTTTTATGGGGTAAAAATTGGTTTTTCTCACTTTTGACCCTCAAAACACAAAATTTCCCAATTTTTCTCTAAACCTTCTTAAAGAGCTTAAAAAAACAAACAATTCAGTATATCAAAGTTTTTTTGTACGGTTATTGGTTACGGAGAAGACTAAAAAAATTGTAAATTTCAAATTCCCATGTTATTCTTATGGAGAATATTGTAAAATGTTGTAGTTTGCTTGTTTATGGATATCTTTTGATCAAACTTGGCAAATATATTCATTTTCTACTAAGCAATAATTATTTTACTTAAAACACACACTTTATTAGTTTCCTTGTAGCAGCAAACCTAGGTACTCGTTAAACCTAATGTTATTTAAATAGATCGATTGAAAATCAATTCAGCCAAATGGAAATTCGCTTAGACGGCAGGTTTGCTGCGGCGGGGGTATTTATTTAATACATTAGTAAACATAGTGAAAAAGAGTGTACTGTACATTAGAGTGGAAACAATTACGGCTTACGTTAAACGGCCCCTGTGGCGGCGTTCGGATTAATGGACGTCCGGATTACGGGGGTACGGATTAAAGAGGTTCTACTGTACTCAGACACCACTATACCATTATTCAGTTTCTACAACTGCTAACTATATGATAGCCATAATACAAATGTCCTGTCATGTCAGATATTCCTGGGCTGGGCTGGTGACTGCGCCTGGGTCAACGCAGGTCTAGTCTACGCACTGTCCATGGCGTTGTGTGGAGCCGTGGTGTCTCTGATACCTCTCATCTACTCCTACGAGCTGCTGTGCGTAGTGTCTGGGGCATTCGGACTGTTCATTGCTGCCAACTACTCCCTCACCTCCATCATCCTCGTGGAGCTCATCACTCTCGAGAGGTTTACCAACGCCTATGGACTGTTGTTGCTAGTGCAGGGAGTCGCCAATTTGGTCGGACCTCCGTTGGCCGGTGAGTAAAAATAGAGGAAATAATAGTGATTTTAACACTTAAGGCCCAAAAGTTGCAGCAAAACCTCTTTTAACTTCATTCAGTTATACTGAATCTCGTGTCTATGGAAACCTTGATCCCAAATCAATTGGAAATTATCAATGAGCTGATCGGTAATGAAGTAAAGAAAGCAGGTATGCTTATGAACTTGTTTTATCCCCCCCTCTACGCTTGTAGCTTAGGCAGATTTTATGAAAACCACCCAGTATAATCCTCATTCTCAACATTTATCACCAACTATATTTACAGGTTGGCTGTACGACATCACCGGCAGCTACGATCTTCCCTTCTACCTCTCTGGAATCTTCATAGCCATGTCTGGAGCACTTCTGGTGATTCTTCCGATCATACACAAGGTTCAGAGCATTCGCAATGCCAGCAAACAAAAAAAACTGTCCTCCAATCATGTGTGAGTCACAGTATTGTACCGGTGAGGTTAGGTCGCCAAACTGGGAACAATATCTTCGTAGATGGGTTTTCTTTTAGTCTATTGACGATAATTTTTCATCAAGGTTGTTGAGGTTTTGTCAATAACTGAGAATTGTTTGAAATACTTTTTCGGTGATTAGAATTTAAAAAAATAAAATTAAAAATTAAAATGTATCAAAAAATGTCCTTGGAACTTTACATCCAGACTGAGTTCCAATTTTATGTTTCTTGTTACAATGTTGATTTGCTAATTACTTTCCCAATATTAGTTGATAGTCAATTGAAAAATTATGAAATTAAATCATAAAAGTAAATAATCTGAAGGAAAACTCTCTCTAAGATATTTATTTGTTTCTCACAATCTTACCCAATTTGGTGACAAAATGTTCACTGTATTAGGAAACAAATTCAACTTAGATATACGAGTCTAGGAACAAATATAGATAGTTAGTTACAATTATACTGATAACTTTTTAGATGCGAGTAAGATAGAACTATCATAGAACGATTGTTACGTTGATGAATACGTCTTCCCTGATTCCTAGTTTACACAGACTAGCTCGGTGGTTTTTATTTTAGATTTGGTTGTTTATTGTTGTAGTACGTCATAGACTAGTCGTTGTCTCTAATCGATGAATGACACTTGAATGTTAGAACTTGAAGAATAGTAACAGCATTTACTTTCTTCAATGTTTACTGTGTCAGACGTATAGATTTTGTGTGGATCAATTGTTGAAAAGGTAGATTATAGTTTATTTTAAATCAAGGTATAACTCATGATAAGACATTTAATTTTAACATTGTAAATGTTTTATTTGGTTTATTTGATTTTGATTCCAGATCAACATTTTTGTTAAGTCTATCAACAGTTCAAAGTATTAATCAACTATACATAATAACATTCATAATATGTATTTTAGATTCATGGCTTAGCATTGTTTAGTTAACAATATGAAGTCAATCTGTTATGCCTAAGGTGTGTTGTCATATAAAAATCATAATATTTTGTTGTAAGTATGAAAATGTAATGTAGGCGTTAGATCAAGATTAGATTGTGCGTTTACGATTTTATGTAATTATCTAGGAAATTGAGGGGCACCTAAAAGGGTAATTTCAATTTGCTCCGTATTTTAAAAATTCATCCAGGATTTTTTAATTTGAAAATGTGTACATAAAAAACAAAAAAAGATTTTTATTGACTAAAAACATTAGTGTGTATATTTCTTTGTTTCCCAACATCCCTAATAACAATAACTTAGACCCATCTTTGTTAGCAATATAATCCTTAATGGACACTTAAAACTTTTTGTGCCTGAAATTTCATTTTTCGGGATAAAAACTTTTAACACCACTGTTTTCTTGATTAGTTTTGTGTTTTGGTCAATTAAGATGTTTGAAAAAAGCAGACAGATAAATAACAGGATAATCTTAAGTACAATTTTACGATAAACATACAATCCTGACTGAAACATAATGTTTACCTTTTAAAATACCTCATACACCAAATATTTAGATGTATCGTAGTTTGTTTTCCGTCATTGTAAACTCGACCAATTATTTATAGTTTTCTGTGTGTAGCTCTATATATTTGTATGTTGAACAATTTATACATTAAGACTGATTAATTTGTTATGTAGATTATGCTTATTTTATAGGAGGTAATTTTTATGTTTTGTTTTTAGCAATTAGTTGATGATATTTTTTAACCGTGGGAACATTATTATGTTTCAGTGCTTCGTCACTTTTTGGTTAGTTTTGTTTTGAAAATTTAGTAATGTCTAATGTCTGTTTGGACAAAAATGTTATGTAGTTGTAATTTTGGGTGAGTTTGTTGGAAAATCCTTCCCTCACATGAGCAATGGGTTTTGATGGAAAGTAATCTTAAATTTTAATTTGCCCATTCACTTTGAAAACTGAAGTGGACATCCCATCTACATAAGAATCACATGTTCCTTAAAAAAACTTTTTTCTTTTAAAAGAGAACTGTAAAGTAAATAAATCATTTTTCAAAAGCATACTCAGTCAATAAACAAATTTTTTCTTCTAAAACAAAACTAAACATTAAATGTGAATATTTGGGTGTCTACTTCAAGATAGTACACGTGTAGTAGAAAGATTTGCCAAAGCAAAATTGGTAATACATTATATAATGGTACCCTTGATATTTTTTTTGTGATTTGTATATAAAACCATAACCGACAGTCATGTTTTACAAATAAATGATAATATACACAACTTTAAATCACAAAAAAGGACTAGACAGTTTTAACACTACAGTAATCTGTGAAGTCCATATTTCTTCTAATCAACGGATGTTTTATACCCTTTATGATGCTGTGATATGGGAGTGCCTGAGGTTCCATTTAGAATATAAAATGTTCAGAGGCACTCCTATCATGCAAAGAGTATATGGTATATTCAAGTCTGGCATACCACACTATGGAGGCCTACACACTTAGAAATTAACAACATTTTTTACCATATCATGACTGTAATTTACTATGGATGAAGACTAGTTCTCAATTTCTGTGTTATTTAAAGTACACAATACAAATCAAAACGGGGGAAGACTTTACTTGTTGCCATATTAAGCCATTATTACCAACTATACCAGTTATTTCTTATATTACTTTCCTTTTAATGATTGAGTTAAATACATTTGAGGAATTCTGTTAAGTTCATAATATGTCATTGTCTAATGTCATCCAAGGTTTTACCATCGTCTTATTTAGTTAGTTATCTCAGAAGTCTGCTGAACTGGATGTAAAGATTATAATAATCTCCAGCTCATAATAATAAAGTTTGTAAATTCACACATAACCTTTATTCTCTTCCATCAATCAGTAAGATGTTAGTGATGTTTGTATCTCGTTTGAAGAAGGTGCTCCTCCTAGTTTTTTTTTTTTTTTTTTTTTTTTACCAGTTAAGTTGTTTTTTAGTTCCTCCTTTTGTACATAACATACGAGCGTGTAGATCCGATGTAAATAGTCGACAAAACGATCGAGTTTTGTTCTCAGATATTTAGTACAATTTTATAAATTGTTCAATTATATACAGATTGTATATGAGAGTGTTAGTATTTTGTACTTTCTCACAGCTTCTACCCTAAATGCTGGTAAATCCCAGATTTTTAGTTTAATTTTATGTTTGGTTGTATAATTTTCAAATAAGATAAAAATTTCGGTTCAAAAAATTCATACTCTTATGAAAATAATTATTAGTCTATTTTTGTTTGCTAGGGAAAAAATTGTGAAAACATGTCTTGGCTATGTATGGAAAGATTTAACTGGAGTAAGAGCTTGGGTACTTCTATTTCAGTTTACCTAAAGAAATATTCTTGTAAAATAACAAATCAAATAAACTGTATCAGCAATCTGACACATAACTTTTTCCATTAGCTTGATAACAACCCTTACCAAAGGGCTGAATAATTTTTGAACTGTAATTTTAATAGCAATGGGGGTTGTACGGTTTTGTTCAGGATGAAAAGAGTTACAATATACCACGTTTTTATCAAGATCGATCCAGTACTTTTTTAAATCCGGTTTACTGTTACGTTATGGACGGATCCCCATTAAAAATACAAATTTCAAACAAATTAAATAACTCTGTAGACACCCATACTTACGTACAAAATTGCATTAAAATTGGACCACGGGTGTGGTCTGTAGCTCTGTACACATCCCTTTGAAAACCACTTTTTTTGGATTCAAGGGGACCCAAGACGGATATATCCACTAAAAACTCGAAGATTTGGACAAATACCCCCGCCACAGCAAACCTGCAAGCTAAGCAAATTTCCATTTGTCTGAATTGATTTTAAATTAAATCTATTTAAATAAAATTAGGTTAAACGAGTCAAGTACCTAGTTTAAATACCTGCATTCAGTTATCTAAATTGCTGCTTGTGGCAACTATACTTTCAGTTCACAGGGAACCATCTTCAGGCCGAACAAGGCGTCGTTATTCAATAACGACGCCTTGTTGGGCCTGAAGATGGTTCCCTGTGAACTGAAACTATAGTTGCCACAAGCAGCTATTTGGACAACTGAATGCAGGTATTTAAAACATTGTAAATATTCAAACGTAATCCAGAGGCTAACAACTTTTGAATATGAAACAAGTACCTAGGTTTGCTGCTACAGGGAGGATAATAAAGTGTTTTTTAGTCAAATATAGCTTAGTATAAAATGAATAGATTTGCCAAGTTTGATCAATATATATATCTGAAATATATATATGCTTGTATAAACAAGCAAACTACAACAGTTTACTTTTTCTCCATAAGAATAAAATGGGAATTTAAAAATTTAGGCTACATTTTTTTCTCCGTAACCAATAACCATACAAAAACCGTGGGAACATTATAAAACAACCATACAAAAACAAAAACATACAACAACCATACAAAAACATTTCAATATCCTAAATTATTTGTTTTTAAAGCTCTTCAAAATGATCTTGCGAGAAATTGGTAAATTTTATGTTTTGAGGGTAAAAAACAAGACCATTTTTTACACCATAAATCCCACCATATATACAACCCTGTTATAATGGACCATTATAACAGGGGACCGGACCGGTCATGCGGGACTCGTTCAAATAAACGTAGGTTTACTCGTTTGTACCAAATTTCATCGAAATCGGATAATTGTTGCTCAAGTTATCGTGCTAACGGTTATATAAATGAATTTGACCAGATGGTGTTTTTTACCTCTGGGGACATCAAAACAAAAAAGTAAATCGGTCCCGGGTCAAGGTATTACCATGATACCTACGGTAATAGCTTATTCCCTATTCGCTAAAACAATACTTTCTCCATATACTATGTATAAGGGGAGAAAGTAAAAAGAACATTTACTTCAGATGGATTTCTGTCAAGAAGACCTAGAGTTTCAATGCTGTCCAATCACCTTTCAGTTATTTGGTAACTTAATACTGTAGACTTGTGGTTTGGAGCTATAGGTCCACATATTTAATGAAAAAAGATAGATCACGTTGGCAAGGGTGAATTGTCTCTATTTAGATGACAAAGCCATAAAAATTATCTTTTGTTTTTTAGCCGATGAAATTAAATTACATTTTATAAACGCTAACAAAAGAATGGTGTTTGCAGATGATATAACACCTAAAAAATCCCAATAAGTTACAGAACTCTTTATAAATCATTGCTTTACATTGTCTACTACAATTCATTGTTTTCACGAGTATATTCAGTTTTCAAAATTTAGGCGGTTTGAGGGAAAGCGGTTCCATCCCCCCCCCCCCCACCTAACCCTAATTTTAAAACAAAAGCTGGCAGCTAAAAAAGGTGGTGGGGAAACCCATTAAACCTACCCCTTAGACTGCCAAAGTTTTGTGAACAGGTCAATAGTAGGCCCATACACAACAAATTCAAACACTCTTAACTTAATAACACTTTGTAAAAGTTGAATTTTTCTTAGACACTCAATTCAATAAATATTTTCACGCCTTAAAGTGGTGTGTATTTATTTGAAGTTAGATGTTTCCATAGATTAGACAATCTTCTAGACGTTGTTAACTAATGTTATTGTAAATATCTAGTTGAGCGTTTTATCAGACCAGTAGGCTTGATATCCCTAACTGGCAAGGCCTAGTCTATACAGTATTGTAAGATTCCACTCTCATTTCTATAGTTCGTTAATTGACATTTACAAGTTCTTATTGTATTTACAGTGCATAATAAATTATATTATTTGGCAACAGTGTTTCTTTTCCATGTTTTCCTGTGGGTGATTTTATAAGTTGAAGTAAGATGCACCCTTACCAAAATGTTATGATTAAATGCGGTTTGTTTGGTTATGCAAGTTTTAGAAATCTCTTGTTACAATGGAAACTGCATCTCTGGTTATTTCTAGTAGATGGGCTAAATTTCAAAATTTTTGAATAAACTGTGTTTTTGACGTCCTAAATGGCCGTTATACTAGTCACTGACTTTAGTTTACTTAGTTACACACTATTCTTGACGGAAAACATGTTTGTAAGAATTTATCCCTTTCAGACCCAGCACACTCATTTGTGTAGGTAAATTCTCAAGTCCTGACAACCTTTTGAAGTTTCTGGATCTTTTTGTTGCTCAGACCTGTACGCTTGTGTAGGTTATGGAGATCAGCTGGGAATTTTTGTTTTGCAGTCTGCCTTCATGTCTTATGGTACCTAACACTGATTGTTTTGTTGCAATGTCATGGTAAGATAGGAGAAAGAGACAACTGTTAAGGTTAATGACTGTTTTATTTATATTTTTAAACGTATATAATGCTAATTATTGCAGAAACTGAAATGGTTAATATGGTATTATGAAGGTTTTGTCTTTAAAACAAGCCTAATTAATAATTTTAGTATTTGAAATCTAGGTTAAAAACCAACATTTATTCAAAATTTGCTCAGGACTTAAAGCGGTCGAGATGACTAAGATTCCCAGGTCTGAAAGAGAGGAATCAAAATTAAAGTCCCATGTCTGCAGGTAGAGTGGATCCGTCCTAATCCTGCTTGTCAAAAGTGTTATTGTTGGGAGCTCGGCAATGCAGGCGGGCCAGGAATACCGCCCTCCCCGGCTGTTTCTAGAAATTCTGTGTCCTACTACAATTTGCTTAAATTGAACCATAAGACTTGGAGCACCATGCGAATGCTCATTTTGTTCGTCTGAGAAAGAGGAATACAAACAACTTTGAGTGAACACTCTACGATTTCCCATTACAGAGTTATCAGGAGTTAGGCTCGATGTATGAACCTGCTCTGGTCGGTACCGATAACTCGGTTACAGGAAACCATAGAGCGTTTACTCAAAGTTGTTTTTATTCCTCTTTCTCACGCTATGGTCCTCATCATGACACGCACACTTGTTTCACATGAGGCCCAGCCGATCACAGTAAAGGCAAATTTCACGTACAAGGCGAGGACGGAGATAATGGATCAAGTGCCAGAAAATAACTTTCCGCCACACTACACTGTTTTAACGAACTTCCCACACAAGGATTTAGTCCAGAAAACAGCTGTTTGCCACCAGCTTAATCAAATGGGGTTTCATTGCGTAATATTGTACTGTAATGAGTTTTACTCGACACAAATCAGCTGATTATACTGTATTGAGGTGGCAATGAGTGGTTGTAAACCAAATTTTTAGTCCTTTAGTTGGTGGAAATATACAAGGATTTGTACAGATTAAGTAGTACTGTACGGCGTAAACTATCGTATGCAACTTGACCAAAATGTGTGTACCGGACTCGTATGGTAATCCCACGACCACACTCGTCCTGTAAACACTTATTTTCAGGACTAGTAACGTAATATACTAATTCTGTACGAGTTATTAACGATACTTTTCATCACAACGCAAATATATACACAAATACAGAATTTTCAAATAGTTTTAGACTAATCTGTATCAGTGAAAGTATACTTTACGTATATGGTTTCATGATTATAAATTTTTTTAGATAAATATATTATTAAAGGCCTTGTCACTTTATTTGGTTTTACATTTTGTAGGCCTAAGTTGTACCAGTTCGTTGACTTTCTGTATTCCTCTACATATCTTTCTCGTAATTTCTCTGTGGGAAGGTGTTGTAGTTTCTCTGAAGCTTTTTGTCATCAAATCATTAGGAATTTTAACATATTTTGAGCAATTTCAAACACGGAGTACGCTAAAACACAGGAAACATTGTGCAACAATGAAAACAGCTGATTAAAATAATTAAAATGAACAGTAAGAAAAAAACACTAGCAAGTGTAGTGGGTAAATGGAGAGCTAATAATTGGGAGCGAGGGAAAGTCAGCTGATTGTTTTTTCCTCGCCCTTCATTGATGTCAGCTGTTATCAAAAATAGTTACTTTCGGCACGGAGTGATGGCCCCTATACTCTATGTTACATCCGTTTTTACTAAAAAGTTTAAGCTTACTAATACGAGAAACCTGATCATTGGCCATATGAGTTGGCATGTTGTTTACAAAAACAGAAACAAGATGTAAATAAAATGTATAACAAGATGTAAAAGTTAAGAAAGAGTTATAGCTGATTTTAAAGAGTAATATTAACAAGTTGACAAGCCATTTTATTACTTTGGACTAAGTTAACAGTTTACAGGTAGGCCTAAGTCATTCAAGTTCTTTGATGAATACCACTTGGCAGTTAAAGAAACTACTGTAATGATTTTCGATCATTTCGAGCTTTTGAATTCACACATGAAAGCGCTTCTAAGTACAATAATAGCTTATACCCTACATGGGAAATTTGCTAAAAAGTCAAGTAAACAAGTCAGTTTCCTTTTAAAATTTTATTATCAACTCAATAAAAACAAGATTAAAACTAAGCAGCTTCTTCCTTGATCCTGTCTTTCTTGAGTTGTCCCATGAAGGCAGCCTTGTCTGCGGCTGTCTGGAATCTTCCGTGACCGAACTTGGAGGATGTGTCGATGAACTTAAGGTTGATCTTCTCCAGAGCCACCCTCTTGGTATGGACAAGCAGCGACTGAAACCAAAATCACGAGTTTAAAACGGGTAAAATGTGAATCAACGATGTAAAATACTTGATTATAGCAACAAATCAGTCCTATCATTTATTTTCATTGAGGATCAAAAACTTATTTGGCTCAAAAATCTCATCATATTTGTTGCAAAAAATACAAGGTCTATTGAACAAGTGAAGAGTAATGTTTAGAGAAAACGTAAGCTTTCTTCTTAATAAAACGTATGCGCTCGTCACCGTTAATAATTATTGACCCGTGAATAGTGGTAGTACAAACAATATATTCCAGGTGAGCATAAGGCAAACCAAAGGCTGTTCAGGAAAGATAACCATGTCAAAATTGACCTGATGTAGGGTTGTCGAAACATCAATGACTTACCTTTCTCATGGTGATGACCCTCTTCTTGGGACCGACACAGCATCCCCTCATCATGACAAAGTCATTGTTCACCTCTCCGTAGTGAGGGAAGCCTCCCATTGGTGTGATGGTTTTCTCCGACAGATCGTACTCTGTAGAGGCGTTGTTCTTAATAACCTGAACACAACTTGGATTAATACACACTGTGTGAACAACACAGATAACATTGAAGTTAAGTGATCTAGCTATTATTAGGTACTTCCATGTAAGTCTCTAACACGATGGTAAGAAAAAGTTTGAATATAAGATATTGATTAAAGTTTTAAAAATTGTAAGTTTAACCTTGTAATAGCCTATATTGAAGTTTGGTTACCTTTAGAAAACCAGAGCTGCATATTAATTTAAGTGTGTTGCTGAACTAAATATCAACAATTCCCAGACAGAATGTTGTGGTAAGAGTCAGCATTTATATTCCACAACAATAATTATCCAAGCATTGCCAAAAAGCAAAGTTAGGTTCTCTTTGTGGTCAAGTCAGCATTTGGTGGATGTATTTGTTAAGTAGAAATAATGTTAAAGATGTTATAGTAAACAGGACTTTCAGATACTTCATTCAGGGTGTCTAGTGTTTCATAAAAATAAACTTCCAAGGACAATCCAAGGTTTTCCAGGTTCAAAATTACAGGTTTTTTAAGGTTCAAAATTAAAAATTTCCGATGGTCAAATACTTAGTTACAAGTTCATTTTCAACTGCTGGTACTTTAAAAACACTTAAGTGAATTTTCATGATAAGTTCTTGCAATCGCAGCAATATCGACGATTTTAATTTTCGACCAAGGCAAAATCTGTGTTAATTCCTGGGATCTTGGCAAAATAGGTATCGATTCCTGGGATCGCGGCAACATGCGTGCAGATTTCCTGTTATTGTTGCAACGCCGTGATATTTCTTGCCATCGCAGGAACATGCGTTATTCGCAGTCTTTTCCCGCAATTTTCAACCACGCTAAACAAAACAATATCGGTGGATTTATTGTTTCAAGGACTATTCAAACATTTAAATCTCCCGGTTATATACAAAATTCACAGATTTGTTCATCAAAATTTACATCCAATTCCCTGTTTCTAGGTCGCCTGGACGTCCCAAATATGCTAATAAATAGATTGGAAAACAAAAACATGGGTTTGTAATCTCTGCTGTTTGAAAGAGGGGGGGAGGGAGCTTGATGTCAAGGTTCTGCATTTGGTTACTGTACTATTACAGTGTCAAAAACTTGTTTTATTTTTTCAGTCTATGAGTACAACCTTAGTTATCTAAAATGCAACTTGTAGGTATTTCTAACATAGTGACCCACAGACACAGGTTTTTTCTAGTGCCTATGCCAGCAGTATTTGATGACACAATCTTAAAATGTTTTCCCAGGAAAATTGTAAAAACCAAATCCCTTTACATTTTGTCCCACTTTCTCAGCTTACTGATAACCTATCTACCACAAACCCATACATAAATTAACACATTGTATGCACCAACTTCTTGCCAAAATCAAAATGAGGAAAAACCTCAAACCACACAACTACAGATTATCTCACCTTGCCGTCCTTAGTGTGGATGCCCTGGCCAATACGGTAGATCTTCTTGTTGATCTCCGTTCGGTGGTGATAGCCCTTCTGACCAGCGCGGGCAACCGTGAACTGAACTCGACTTGGATGCCAAGCTCCAATACATGCCACTTTACGCAGACCCTTGTGTGTCTTGCGAGGCAGTTTCTTAGTGTGCCAACGGGAAGTCACACCTAAGAAGCAATTTGAAAATCTAAATACCAATTGAGAATTTAAAGCAGCAAAGCCCTTTGAGCAACAGTTGACAACCAAGTCGGTAGCAAG